TAACTTTATATTTAATATTTTACTACTAATACTTCTTGCATTATTTTTTTTTTTTAATTAAAGACTTACAGCACATCTATCAAACGTATGAAAATAACCAAAGAACACCTAAGAAAGCCGTCAAACATAGAAATCGATGCATCATCAGCTCTAACTGATCTTACAGATCCTCCTGATCCTCACCCGGAACGACAAACAACAATCAAATGAAATATCGTAGTTAAAGCAAATTGTTCATCTATGCAGTTATCCCAACACATTCCAAAAACACAGAAGAATCAAAGCCGATTTATTGATAACTTTAGAAATATAAGTTATACGAGTATCTCATTGGTTGAACAGGAAATTGAAATGAAAACTATGGAAAGAGCACACATAAATCAATTAAATGATTCCAATAACCAAACCGAAAACATTTGGCTTCGACACACTTATATTCATGCGAGTGTTAATTTCCAGGTCTATGACTTTATTGTTGTCACTGATTGCAATTTTTCCAAATAAATCAATGCTAAATGAATACAGAAACGTTCTACATACTCAACGTATGGACAAATTTATACCAAAAAAATAGAAGTTATGTGGTATAATTTTAAAAGTTAAGTTTCATTTGATTTTAAATTAGTCCAATGACAGAATGTCTGAATCTAACCAGTTTTCACTTTGCTTTTCAACTGTTGAAGGATTACTAGCGAATAATATTATTAATGAACGTAAATGCATCACAACTGTTATGTAAATTATTTATTATGTTTAAATTATTGAGCATTACGAAAATGTACTTAACTGTGTAGGTATAAATCAACATATATGGATAATAGATAAAGGATATGTAAACGAGGAAAACATGAAAAACATATGAAGCAAAACGAAAGACGGCAGAACCATAAAATTATATATATTATATATAAATATTATGTAACCCTTGCATAGACTAATGTTATGTATGTATACACAGATCTGAGTTTTGAAGACCTAACAAAATCAGTCGTATATTCGTAAGTAGAGAGGAAGCCCCAAAACCAAAAGCAAATAACAAAAGTTAAACTTTAAAGCGTGATTTCAATGGAATATATCATCAGTTTAAACTTTACAAAATATCGAACATTTTGCACTGTGGATCAGATTGGAATCTTTTTTTTTATTTTCGGATAATTTTAGGCCAAATAAATGTGAGAATGTGAGAAGAATTACGGCTCAGTTCTGTTAGCGAAAGTTTTCATGCAGAAACATAATTTGTTAACGCGAACTTTAACCTTTTTTTTGTGGAGTCTGTCTCCTCCTTATCTCTTTAATTATTTTCGACTAGAAAGTATCCCTTTGTTGCTTCTTCGACTCAAGTCTTGAGGTTTCTACAGCTATGTATTTACTGATCGTTGTTTTCGTTTTGAACTCTACCACACTCAATAATTTAGAATCATATTAGGACATAATAAAAAAAATATACATACTAACTAAATGATTATGGCAAAATGTTAAAACAGAAAAAGAAATATTAAGAACAATAATAGTTATTACTATTTATATTATATTCAAGTATATATACGACATCTAAACAATATACATTTATATATACTTATATAACATAGTGCTCTTGCTGCACAAGCCTACTAAGAAATCGGAATTTTTAATATGGACCGGACCGGGCCGCAAAATGAACTTCTATCTTCCTATAGAAAAGTCTCAGAGTTGACCGGGTATAAAATTAAAAAAAAAAAAGGTGAACTGGGATAGGATGAGCCATAATTTTCTGATTTTTTCCTTATTGAAAGTAATGAAATTCCACAAATAAATTAGATGTTTTTTGTCCTGTAAATGGTATATTATAATGGTAATGATAATGCGTAGTTAGGGATCGGTGTATCCCCTGTACACACACCTACACAGTTGTAGTTATGTTCACCAAAGCAACAGAGATGCATAAAAAACGAGTAAAGCGGAGATGCAAATGCAAGGAAAATACCAAAAATATTTATGTAATATAATTCATCTAAATTTAACAACTCGAAAGAAGGACGACTCGATGGAAGACAGGAAAACAAGATATATAAGAAATTACGAGTATTCTTCAATAAAAAATAACGTACTTTGCTTTTCCAAATAGTTACTGTAAATTATCTCAAAACCCAAGAACAATGACACAAAGACACGAAATAAATCTTAAACAAATAAACATAACCTAACCACAAAAACAAGAACAAAGAGAAACAAACTATATATACTTGCGTATTTAACAAATTATATGAAAAATTATATGAAATGATGTTGATTATTGATTTAAATTTAAACTGAGAAAGTGAATAAAACAAATTATATATACACCTATACATATATATATATATATATATATATATATACATACATATATATAAATATTAAACCAGACAAAAGCAGAAATTTCCTTTGTGTTTTTCTTCAGTTTAAGTATCTTTAGTTAAACAGCGTTACACTGGTCCACACAACCCAAACCCTTGTGCGACAATGTAAGTGTACCCGTCTCTAAAATCCGGATGTACATACATACATACATACATACACAGAGACACAGACGCAAACACAGATACACATTCGCAGACACACTGAAACTGACCACACGAACTGACCAAAATGCAAGTCGTACACTTAAATGTATTATAATGTTAGTTATACATATGTACAACAATATCTGTATATGTACTTGTACTATTATTTCCTAAACTCGAAAGCAGAGATTCGAAAGAAACGTTCTAAAAGCAGCATTCAAAAGCAGCGCAAAGCCATCACGAAAAGCACAAATCAGTAGAAAAAGCGAAATGACGCTGAACAAAACAAAACAAAACAAAACGAAAATAACATAAAATAGGTAACGTAACAATAACAAAAAGAAGAAACCATAAAGATAATGTAGCAGTCCATGTATCTTTATTTTATGGATATGTATGTATGTAATTTATATCGATAAATCAGGCATAAATGCATTTAAAAACCAAACAAGAGCATAAACCGATCGACGAGAACGAGTATATCAGGGGAAGATTAGATTCGGGAATCTGAAAAATTGAATAGGAGAAATCGATTTCATTACAAGGGTATTCACTATAATGTTATACATACATGCATACGAACATACATATATGTATATGTATGTAGGGCGCACGTGAGCGAAAGATCGAGAGGGTCTGGGCAGGTTGTCTGTGTAGAGAAGTGAATAGCGACAAATACAAGATATAGAAATATGCGTTATAGGTACAAGCCACCTAAAATATAGGACAATGTTTAATGTTGATATGAGTTAATCTGGCCACATAGCGTGCGCATTATATGCATATACGAGTATACATAGTACATACAATTCGAGTACAATCCCAATGAGAAGAATAGCCCCAGCAGAATCATTTTAAACGAGTATGCCAGGTGAGCAGGGAAGTACCCCAGACATTTATACATAACCATCAAGAGCACCGCATAGTATGAAGATACCATACGATATATGAATAATTACATAAATAAACGATATACGTACATACTATGAATGGCAAGTATGTACTCCACCTGGGAGTAGAGTAGCCAACTTTCAGTTCAGAATCCATAATACCTACTACACCCACTCAGCACCACAATCGCGGATATCATTTTATGACTCTTTCCGGAGTTTTGTTGTTTATGATAAACTGTTTATAGATGTTTTTTGAATTTTAAATAAATTATATTTACCATATGGCAAAGGCAAATAATACCTAAATAAAAACAAAACGTGCGAATCCATATATGATAGTAATGTATGTATGTATGTTTCAAATGCTAATACAATACGAATCTTGAATTGAGGCTTTCCGGGAAGCGTCGAACGAATGAATATTACTGAATAAACTGCATATATAAACATACTATAATGCAACTGTATTGCAAGACAAGTATATCATTTTATTTCAAAGGCAAATGAATTTAACACAGGCCACACGCCCCAAGACACACACTCCTATAGATACACACACCTATATAGGGTAAGCGGCAAGCGGCAGATCGATCGAACACGGTTCCAGAAGTCGCGCCGTGCCAAGATCCACTGCAAATACCAATGTAAACCACACACGAAACTCAAGAACTAACATATGTGAAATGAAACGAGGAATGTTTATAAACAATAAACAAATGTTTGAAAACTATTAACAGTCGCCTTTAATTTCACTTTATTTCACTACAGAGCTTTTCCCAGAACGCAATTCAAATTCTCCTCTTCGGTGTCGTATCTGGTTGCATTTCCTATCTTGGAGTCTTTTTTGCTGACACATTAGTAACATATAAAACGCGTCGCTCTGGTCTGCTGTATACTCGTATATTGTGCTCTCAATTCTGGAAGTCAGTTTATGAGCTTAAGCCAAAGGCATCGGTCACAGAGCTATCAAGCCATTTTTGTTGTATTATCACGTTTTTTCAATACTTCGGTTTACCTAATACTTTTAATTAAGGGATTACAATGGCTAATCGATCCTATTATCGTCCAATTTCGTATCGGAAACCAGAGCAGCGTTCAAGATCTTTTGATGTCCATGGGTCTATATGTGCATAGGAAAGTGTTCCGCTGCTGCGCTGCCGCCCACGTACAATTGTATAACTGTGATAAACAAACCAATTTCTCATTATCTGTCCCATTTATGCTGATAAGCAGAAGCAGGCTATGCTTCCCGGAATGTTAATCTTTGATAAACAGAGCCTCTTGCATCTCGTATTGAGATTATATTGAGATTCTGAGTTGTGAATTGATGGGTCCATTTGAAGTCAAAAGTCATTGGTCATAGAGTTTTAAAGCGTCATTCGATACGAACGACACGAATTTCTACCACTAACCTCAAGTGATTTTGGTATGGTATTCTAATAAAATACTACAAAAATGATCGGTACTCCAAGAAAATAATATAGGCCCCCAGCAGCATGCAAATAACAAAAATATTTAAAATTACCCACTTAATTGTTTTGTGTTTCCATTAATTTAAATTGTTTACATGAAATATGATTTTTTATTTATTATTGTGGCAAAAAGTATTGCTTGGACACAAAAAAAATATAAAAACAGCGATTTTGTTTGTCACTTCAAGTGAACTTCAAAATTAACATGTCAGTGGAACCGCTTTAAATCGCGAATATGTAATTATATGTAGGTGTAGCTTCTTAATTAACCTTCTTTATTAATGACAACCGAGGACTTTTATAGTACGGTTTACACAATGTTTCTTTTATTATTAAAATATCAAATATGAAGACCGGAGGTATTTTCGCGTTCTCACTGGGTTGAATTTTTTCAAATTGAATATTTTCTTTATTAAAACAATATAAAGCTAAGATCTGCCTAGTTCCTATCTAACAAATGAGAATTAACATTTAGTGTTCACTAAAGTGTCATTTTGAAAATGCATTGGCTAAGCGGGAAAAATTATAATCGAAGTAGGCCACTATTTAATTCCTGGTTGGCACCACAGATCCATATATTCACGACACGACACAATTACAGTTCGTGCTAAAACACAGCCAAAACTGGATTACAATGACACATTTCCAGCATTGGGAGCAGGAATTGCAACGGCTTGAGGAGGACGTGGGCACGGTTCGGATTCTGATACTGGGCGATCCAGGTGAGAATATATAGGCGATAGTCGATGATACATTAACAGTACCTTTACACTTAAACAAATCTTTAGGTGTGGGAAAAACATGTTTGACTAACTTGCTGGCTAACAGCGCGATCACGCCAACACGCTCCTCCCGAACCGTTGCCGACAGCGAATGGACCGTCCAAGCACGTCTGCATGAGTACCCCATCACGGAAAACCTCCCACTTACACCGGAGTGGACGTCGCCCTCCTCATCGGAGCGGTCAAACCAATGGATGTTCCCGAGAGAACCGCCACCCGCTTCAGAAGTGATATACTTCGTAGAGTTCTACGATAAGAACAGCTCAATGAGCAAGTGTCGAGTGGACAGAAATCCCTTGTATAGGAATATAGACGGAATCGTCTTGGTTTATAATATGCAAGACATGCAATCACAGGACCATTTGCACGACTGGATGTACGGTCCACTGCTCGAGATAAGCCAGCACCGCCACAACAAACGCAAACGTATATTAGACCGGCATCATGTGCCCATCCTAGTCGTGGGCACCATGTTGGATAGGCTGCTCAAACGCCCGCTACGTCGCTATGGAACCATTGCCCATCAATTGGGGGCTGAGGAGATATTCCTCAATTGCCTGGATCAACACTCATTTGATGAAAAAACCCGCAATCACGGAAAGGTGCAGAATTTCTTGAACAGAGTCGTCGACTTTAAGATATTTAACCCCAAATGAATACATTACATCACATATGCCATAATATATATTAAGTAGATTTTAGATTTATTGAAATTTATGACTGACTCTTTATCGCCCACGGGGACAAGTTCTTAGCCAGGGGGCCACTGCATTTGACGACCGCCGAGGAAATGCAAGTGCAAATGGTACACCGACTGAGCTCCATGTTGTCCATTGTTGATGACCACGCGATAGCCCTTATCCAGTCCCAGGTCCTTGGCCACCTTGCGGCCGACGAGCATGAGGTGACCCAGCAGCTCGCCATCGCCATCTTCCGACAGGGAGAGCTGAGCAATTGGTTTTCTTGGAATCACCAGAAAATGAGTCGGAGCCTGGGGGGCCACATCATGGAAGGCCACGCACTAGTGTCGTACATTATATGTATATACATATGCCGGTTAATACTCATCATTGCACTTTGTTCCCAAACATACCTTGTCATCCTCGTGGATGAATTTGCATGGTATCTCCTTGCGTAAAATCTTGCCAAAAATGGTATCTTCGCTGGCCGCAGCCGTTTGCGCCTTATCTACCTCGCTAGCCATTCTAGCGAAAGTTGTGGCAAAAGAGCGAGAACTGCAAAAATGATGAAAATATAACTTTTGATTGCACTTGATTGAAAACCGACCTGAAAACACGAACAAAGTTCATCGAAAGCCGGACTGCCAACTGGTAGGAATTACGAACGCGTTAGGGATTTTGTTTCGCTCACAAATGCGTTGTAAACATAAATTTATTACATTTCACTTAAATATATATTACAGTACAATAAACTAAACAAAATATTGAGGCTTTCGCATGGTTATGCCGTGATCGGCCAGAGCTGGAACCAAATCCTCCATGGCCAATGTGTACTTGCGATCCTTGGGGTTCTTCTTGTCCTTGCTGGAGCTGTGTCCGCTGGAGTGTTGAATGTTGGTGGTGCGGGTCTTGCAGTGCTGCAGTGCATCATTGGCAATGTCGGATATGAACTTTTGCGCCGACACAGACACCAAACGCACAATCTGCGGGTCAACCTTTGAGAACCCAGCCTGCAGTCAGAAGAATAGAGTCAAGAAATAGTATTACTCCCTTCTTTCAACACTTACAGATTTAAGCATGTGGACCGTTAGGGCGTCGGGTAAAGTGGGCGTGTAATCCTCTAGCTGTCGTAGCAGTTCATCCACATCAGCCTCTTCGGACGAGGCTGGCCCCTCTTCAACTTCCAAGTCTTCCTCGTCCGATTCCTGGTCAGAGTGCTGCTTAGGACTTGACGGGTGCTCCTCATCCTCCGTGTCAGTCGCAGAGGCCAGAGATTCTGCAGGTGTTAGACTCACATCCTCTCCATCGGAAGCCATAATTAATTGTTAAGTATATATTTTTTATTTTGGGTGTTGTGTTTACACAAATCCTGCAGCGCTGCCACACTTTATGCAGATAAATGGAGTGCAGTGTGACCGCGGGTTGCCCTTAGAAATATACCTAAATATAATGTGAGCGCACAAAAGTATTTTCTGAAAATACCGAATACCAGACGTCTCGTCTCTAACGTGTTTTCTCATCAATATTGTGTCTCCCTGTTTGTGTGTATTTCTTGATATTTATATTAAAATGGTCGGATCCAATTTTGGTATAATCTATGGTCTTACGGGCCCAGCAAACCAAGGAGCCTCGTCAGCTGGCCAGGGAGGAGCAGGCATGGCTGCTGGTGGAGGAGAACGCGACCGCCTTGCAGCCCATCTTAGCGACTTTATGTTGCAATTAGAAGACTACACTCCGTTGATACCCGATGCCGTGTCAGCACACTACCTGAATTTAGGTGGATTCCAGGCGGACGACAAACGCATTGTGCGTCTTATTAGCATTGCAGCCCAGAAATACATGTCGGAGATTATGGACGATGCTCTGCAGCACTCCAAAGCTCGTACGCACATGCAAACCACCAACACACCCGGTGGATCCAAGGTAAGGGAAGAAATTGCCTAACGATCTTTGTTTTCAAAGCTTATCTGTCCCATTCAGGCCAAGGATCGCAAGTTTACTTTGACCATGGATGATCTGCAGCCAGCGCTGGCCGACTATGGCATCAATGTGCGCAAAATGGACTATAGCCAGTAGATCTCTTTGTACAGTAGATCTCTATAAATGTCCTAACCTATTTTAGTTTATTCACAAGTCGAGGAAAAGATGATTCTTTTAATAATAATATCCAGACGCTAACATCTATGTTGTTAATACTAAAACTCTATTCATTGGCATGTTACAAATTTCTTGAAACTGCGCGAGGTTCCGCCTGCCACTCGGAATGCCAGAAGACCTGTGAGAATGGTGATGATGTAGTTGGTCAGCAAAGTAGCCGTGTACAACTCATTGGCATTGAGGAGGGTCAGGAGGGATACGAACAGATGGCTGCCTACGACATAGGCAATGTGCAGATAGTTGTTCGTGTCGCAGGCGTTGAAGAAGATTACGCTCCAGAATGTATGTAGCAGTATGATGGACAGTGCCTGAGCTGCTGAGGTGACAAAGAATAGCTCAGTGCCACTCTTGAGCCCCATGGTTCCGGGTCCACTCTGTGAGAATATATGTTCATTAGCAAACTAAAATCGCCGCCTTCTCTTGCCAACTCACCATATCAGCCAGAACATTGACTAGCGCAAACATGCCGGATATGATTCCGAATCCTAGGCCGGACACGTACGACAGAATATGCTTGTTGTCCGTCACCCGGGTGTCCTCGGCAACGGCTTGCAAGCCCTGTTCCGTGCTGCGTAAAATGCGATAAATTATATACCTGAAGCATTCCTGAAAGACCACCGAGAAAAACACTCCGAATGCCAGTACATCGCGCAGCGGAATCATGGCGAACCACAGCAGCGACGAGAGCAACAGGGACAGCAGCCAGAAAAATGCCGCTGCAATAAGTATGATGATGCGCACCGGATCATTGGCGATGGTGAAGACGAACAGCGCGAACGGAGGACCAAATGCAATAAAAGTGCAGCCAAAAAACTCGGGCAGAGTCATCTTTTATTTTTCTGTTTATATGAATTTTTTCTCCAGTCCGTGGGTGTTTTTGTTTTTGGCAGTAGAGATGGCCTTCCGCCGATAATGACGATATATCGTATAAACTTCGATACAATTTACAGATTTTGTCACACCTCTATTGAAATACCCAGCAAACAAAATAAATGATATCGAAAACGAGTCAAATGCGGGACTTAACTTGACAAAACTCTCGATCGAATCAAATAATATGGGAATATGACACATACATACATACTTTGTAGTTCATTTTGAGGCAGGGAAAGTATCGTTTAAGATAATCGCAAGAAATGGCGTTTTGCGAGACATTTTTGGTCGCTTGTCATCTCTTTTGCGAGCATATTGCGAGTCTCTCGCAAAAGACTCGTCTGTTGGTTTGCTGGGTAGTGCCATGAATCCCGAGTCTTTCCAAAAACTTTGGTGGCGGCCGCTCCACTGGCTTCGCCATCGTCTACGACCCCCTGGACTTTGCCAAGAATTTTGACGTGCCAGATAGTTCCATGTATGTACATTCCCGTATACAGCTAAAATATGCGAATTGGAATTGCATTGTATTTTTGAGCTGGAATGAACGTCTTGGCGCGATAGAGTGTTTTCATAGTCGACTGTGTGCTTTTTTCAGGCACTAAGACAAAGGCGACCCACTTTCCTCTCCGCTCTCTGACATCAATTTTGTTTGGGGCGGGATTAGTCATTGCAATATTGAGTCAACCAACACAACGCAGCTGCACTCTCCCGCACACACCATGCAGTCCAAGTAATATTTCAAAACGAGAAGCGATTCGCACCACCACAGCTGCTGGTAATATTCTTCTGTTCGGATTTCAAATAGTAAGCAAACCTCAATTGGCAGACAACTGTAGCAGAGGAGAGCTCACCTTTTATATCTTTCTTCAGTGCATGCTGTGATGGCCAAACGACTGCTCCCCCATGTACCCTCCTTCGACGATCCTGGTCCCGATGAACTCGACAGCCCAGCCATAGAGGCGGCGGCCCTAGACATACCCCCGCAAGTAACAGATAAGGCACTTCAAAAAGGTTTGACGCTTAATGGTTCACACCATGATGAAACTATACAAGGTGGTCCCGTCCCGCAATGCGCTCTCTTTTCGGAGCTTATTTTGCAAATCAACAAAAAACTCGCTGTGTAAGTGATGAATTCGATTTTTATTAGTGAGAATATGATCTGAAAGAGAGGAACGGGACCACCTTATATAATTTCATCATGGTGCACACTAAGCAGTGCAGTGGGTCTGACTAACGCAGTCTTCCGCAGGTTTCTGGGAGCGTCCCACATCGACCACCACATATGAGCCACCCAGCGAAGGAACTGTGCTGCGCTTTGACATTCTGCTCGCCCACATCATGCCCCCAGACGGGGAGGATGTGAAAATCAAGCGTTATGTGGTCTACGAGCTCACCGTGCGCCAAGACGGCACCGAAGAAGATGCCCAGCCAGCAAAGGTCGAGCGTCGCTATACGGATTTTCGTGAGCTGTATCTGGGACTGAAACGCCGGCACCCGGCTGAGATGGCGAACATGTACTTCCCCAACAAGGTGCTCTTGGGTAATTTCAAGTCCGAGTTGATTGGCGAACGAAGTGCTGCCTTTGAGCAGTTCCTTACGTACGTGGCCGGTCACTCCAAACTGCGCGATTCGGACGAATTTTTGCACTTTCTGCAGAACGACGAACTGAGCCGGGCATGTCAGTTTTTGGACGAGCGTCGCCACGAAGCCATTCCCATTCTCGAAAACTGTTTTCTTCTGCTGAACAAGATCTACATGAATCGCGCACGCCCACTACTTCTGATAATCTGCCGCCTGGTGGCAGCCTGCACTTCATCGCCAGTGCCCCACCACTCCGCCGAGCGCTGGGCTCTATTGGCCCTGAGTCGCTTTGAGACTGTAAGCGACATTGATTTGCTTCCGCTCTATATTCCCCTGCTCCACACCTGTGCTCATCTGTGGTGAGTGCCACAAACTGGGAAACTAAAGGCCCCACTTTAGAGTGTACTTTTTTTTGCAGGTGGCAGCGCGGGCAGGACCAAAAGCACATCACCGATCGACTAACGGACATGTCAAAACAGGGCATCAACACGGCCTACACCGCCAGCCTCATGCAGGCTATACACAAGATCGATCCGCGCACCGAAACCATGTAAATCTCACGTCAGATTATGTATGACATCAGGATCGGTATCCCCTAGCTGCAATTAGATAACTTGTGCAATTATTATTAAGCGTAAAATGATTAGTTAAGCCGTAGTTTTCGCACGTCAATGTCCTATATACACATGTATCTTTGTTGTGTTGTCCCAAGTGGAGTTGTGCAAGTTTAAAATCCGTTTAACCACTAGATGAAAATTCAGTCATAAGGGAACTGTAATTGTAGGACACTTCCATAGCCTTGTGGCTTCATATCAGGGCATTTTTTGCTGCTGTGTCTGCTAGCTCGTTTCCAGCCATGTTTACATGGCTGGGATTCCAAAGTAATGTAAATTTCGGAAAACACCTTTGAAGTAAATTTCGAACTTCACTGGCCTAAAAGGTAGAATTCGACGTGTTTTTTATATCGTTCAATGAGGAGATTGTTTTTTAAACGACCGTAAGGATTCATGTATGGCGATAATTTCAGATGAAACGAGAAGTAACGTGTGAGTCGCTTCTGTTGACGCGACTCTACTTTTTTACCCGTACTCAATATATAAATTTGTAATCTTATGATTTTTGTAGAATTTTAAAATATTTAAAAATATTGGCCCTGAGTCGCTTTGAGACTGTAAGCGACATTGATTTGCTTCCGCTCTATATTCCCCTGCTCCACACCTGTGCTCATCTGTGGTGAGTGCCACAAACTGGGAAACTAAAGGCCCCACTTTAGACTGTACTTTTTTTTGCAGGTGGCAGCGCGGGCTGGACATATTAAAATTTTTTTTTTAGCTACATCTGTTATCTACATCGTCAATGTCGATTACACGTCTAAAATGTAGATTCTACATACACAATGTAGATTTTGAAATACACTTGAGGCCGTGTGATATCCCAGCAAACCAAGCGCTCGCAAATGATATCGCATACGAGTCAAATGTGAGACTTAACCCGACAAAACGCTCGCATTTGGACTAGAAATATGAGACTTGTGTCGTTGAGTTTGTGGCAGTGATTTTATCATTTATGATAGCTCGCAAACGTATCGTTTGAGAGACTTTTGCGATATCGTTTGTGAGACTTTTTTGATATCTTTTGTGAGACTTTTTTGATATTTCTAGTGAGTCGTTTCTGATATCTTTTGCGAGACTTTTTTAGTTTAATCGTATCTTTAATATGGTGGTGGCACACTGATTTTCTGGGGACGGAAGAGGCCGGGGCTAAATTTTGAAATACTCTTGTAGCAGTGTGGCATATCATATGAGTCTGGAAACAAAATTTGGTTGCTGTACCTCTTATAATCTCTGAGATCTAGGCGCAAATCGGGACGGACAGACATACGTACAGATATGGCTATATCGACCGGCTTTTGTTGCTGATCAAGGTCGAAAGGTCCTTCTCTGCGTTAAACACATTCACCACAAATCTAATATACCCCTTAACTCTTCGAGTACGGGTATAAAAAGAGTGGGGTTTGACCGACGCACAGTGGGGCCTTCGTCCATTTCATCTTGCTAAATAAATAAATTCTGAACGAATCAAGATATCTTCATAAAATAATTAGCATTTGAAAGGAAAATCTTTCAGAATTTAGTCTTCAAGATAAAATGGTGCTACAATGTCTAAAAGCTTTACAATAAATAGTCAAAGCTGAACTTTGATTCCCGTGAATATTTGCCTGTTTTGCGGTGCATTATGTGCTAAGCTTTGTTTTTTTTTCCATCGATAAATAAATTTTAATGGTTATTATCACTACATATAATAATTTTATTTTTAATCAAATATAATTTTTTAAAATTTATAAAACTTAAAAAAAAATTTTTTTTTGTAACATATATCTCACATACTTTAAATTTCTATAGAAGAACTATTTTTCGATTTATTTTTAGATATCACAGTCTAATGTCTGAATCATTAAAATATTGACCTCATTTTTGGAAGTTTTTCAACTTTGACTTGACTTTAAAAAAAAGTATATTTTTGTATTCCAAATTGTTTTTATACCCGTACTCAAAAAAGAGTTAAGGGGTATATTAGATTTGTGGTAAAAGTGGATGTGTGTAACGCAGAGAAGGAAATTTTTCCGACCCCATAAAGTATATATATTCTTGATCAGCATCAATAGCCGAGTCGTTATAGCCATGTCTGTCTGTCTGTCCGTCCGTCCGTCCGTCCGTCCGTCCGTCTGTCCGTCTCGATGAGCGCCTGGATCTCAGAGACTATAAAAGCTAGAGGAACCAAATTTTGTTTCCAAACTCATGTGATATCACACTGCTACAAGTGTATTTAAAAATTTCGCCCCGCCCCCACAAAGGACGAAAATCTGTGGCAGGCACAATTTTAAAGATAAAGATAAAACTAAAAACGCAATATCGTAGAGAATGACCATATCTATCAGATTCCCGAATCTGATCATAATTATAGCCAGACTGAAGAAATTAGTTTTCAGTTGTTTCCCCCCGCCCTCACCAGAAAACGACCACCCTACTCATTTTCCTTCTCGCTCGCACACTCTAAATGGTACATGTAGAATCAACATGTTAGTTGTATAATATACATTTTATATGTATATGTATATGTAGATAAAATATGTAGCAAAAAAATGTAAAATGTAAAATATTTTTTTAATTCTAACATTTTAAAAAATTATATGCTCAAAAATGTATATACTGACTCAGTACGGGTATAAGTAGAGTCGCGTCCCTAGTAGCGACTCACACGTTCCTTCTCGTTAAAAGCTCCAGTACCTGTCACTACAAACAATACAAGACTGAGCTCTTTACCTACTAGTCATAGATTTCCAGGCTTTAACTTTGTCTGCGTGTATCCGAGAGATGCTCTTGACTGTTTTAAAAAAAATAAAGTCTAACGCAACTGGTCTAAATGACATAAACACCAAATTTCTCAAACTTTTTCTCACATGTATTATAATGACAATTATCCATATATATAATAAATACTGCTCTAATGACTAATATTATACCCACCCCAAAACCAATTTACAAAGATTATAGACCCATTTCAATTCTTCTATCTTCTATCGGAAGCCTTTGAAAGCTTAATGGCAGAACAGATCAGTGACTTTCGTAAAGCGAACAAAATACTAAAGGAATCAAAGTTAAACTTTTTGTGTGGTGATTGTAAACGGATTGAAGTTTTTTTTTACTACTTTAAGGTCGCTGATTTCAAATCTGATCTCCATTTAGATCGGGTTTTCAAGTTACTGGTATTAATAGCATGTTTGACTTTTTAAAATCAATAAATGTTCAAAATGTCATAACTTTACTCCTCATCAAGCGATATTAAAACTTTTTTCAACCCATTTCAAATACCAAACGCCAATAATCTGGCGGGAACCTTCGAATGATGATGATTGTTATCTTCGTAAAGGTCATGACCCGACCAATCCTGTACCCTAGTGATGGTTCAGAACAACAACAATCTACATATACACGAAATGATCATTACTTACGACAAAATTCTTCTTCACTAAGAACTTTATATGGAAGTCATCTGATCCACTTTGATATTTCTTCTGAACGCCAGCAATTTAATCAGGAGGAGCTTAGTGATTTAGTGAGAGACCTTGGATTTTCTAAAAAAGCATCTGAACTTCTAGCTTAACGATTAAAGACAAAAATCTGTTAACCCACGATACAAGAATTTCATACTACCGCAACAGAGAGAAAAAGTTACTTCCATTCTTTATCGAAGACGATGAATTTGTATATTGTTCAAATGTTCCTGGTTTTTTAACAGTGATGGAGTTAGAGAAGTATGATCCAAACGACTGGCGACTATTTATAGATTATAGCAAACGTTGCCGATTGGCCATTCTAGTAAATCAAATACTAATGCTACCATTGCCTCGGTTTTAGACAAAATAAATTACAACGAACACCGGTGGCCAATTTGTGTGGATCTGAAAATGGTAAATTTTCTTCTTGGCCAACAAGGAGGCTATACAAAACATCCGTGTTTCATTGGTTTGTGGGATAGAAGAGCCAGATCTGAGCACTGGAGTAAAAATGACGGGCCTTCGAAGGATGCTATGGTTCAAGAACAGAAGAACATACAGTGATGAAAAAAAATAATAGAAACGGCAGGCAAATGCACATTTGAAACCAAATATATCAGTAAAATTGGAGTAAATTTTTTACTTGGTTTTCGGGAGAACGGTGCTTTACTTTGGACTTTATTTTGGGCTTCTTTCGTAAGAATTATAAGCTGTGTATGCATGTTTGTGATAAGACCACGTTTTGGGTGGTAAAAATAATAGAAACGCACTGGAATTTTGTTCTTATCTTATTTTGGATCGGTTGGAATCGAATTATGCAGGTAACATTTCATAAACTAATGGTACAAGAATGATGATATGTTAAATAAGTGTTCCTGCGGATCTCGATTTGTTTTTTGCTGTTATTCGTTTCAGAATGGGTCGCGGCCTACATTGTACCGATATTAAAAGTTGAAATTTCATAACTCTTAGATATGAAGGCAATGTCAGATATAGCCACAATTCTAAAATGTTCAAAAAAAATGTTTTCAGAGAAACGAGGAAGAAAGCGCGCAACATCGGTGAACTTAGTCAGGCACCTTGTTAGAAAATAAATAAATTGAAAAATTTGGCGAAGAGGCATTTATTGCGTAAACATTGGAAAAATGTGTTGTGGTCGGTCGAAACCAAGATCAAATTAGTTTGGGTCTGATGGGAAACGACATGTAAGACGCCCTAAGAATACTACCCACGACCCAAAGTAGTATATTAAAACAGTTAAGCATGGTGGTGGTAACATCATGTTGTGGGTATGCTTTTCCCATTCGGGTAGGTAGGTCCGATAGGTCCAATACATTGGAGAATGGAAAAAATGTATGCCACCCACCACGTAGACATACTCGTCAGCATAATGCTACCTTATGCTAAAGAGGAAATGCGAATAAAATGGGAGTTTCAGCAGGATAATGACCCGAAACATTCTTCAAAGCTGGCTAAGAAATGGGTCATGGACAAAGAAGTGCCCTTGATGGAATGGCCTTCGCAGTCACCAGACCTAAATCCAATAGAGCACCTTTGTGAGATATTAAAGAAGAGGATTGGTGGGAAGATTTGTGGGAAAAAGGAAAGCCCGAGTGGCTTTCCATTGAACCATCAATTTGTGCCGATTTGGTGGATTCCACGGGACGTCGATGCACCATAGTTATTAAAAATGGCGGTGGCACAACTAAATAATAAAGTAAAAAACTAAATTAATAGCCTTTGAAGCTACAAATCTGTTTTCCATAGCTTTAAGATGGGCGTTTCTATTATTTTTTCCAGGCCTAAAAGTTCATGTGTACATATTATATGAAAATAACAAACATAAGAATATTTTGATAACATTTTTTTTTTCTGTTATGAACAAATTAAAACAAACGCAGCAAAAGTTTTTTGAAATTTTGACATTTTATTGTAGTTGTGACTAGCGTTGTGATTAGCGTTCTGAGTAGCGTTGTGACTAGGAAATTAACATAAAAGTTGCGATCCTGTTTAAATGCATTAAAAACAAAGTATTAAAAAAAAAAGAAGAGTGAAA